TGCAAAGCAACTAACATTATTTTTTTTTTATTTTTGGTAAGCAAACAAAAACAGTTTTACTTTCGTTTTCATTGGAGCGGCGAAAAGTATTGCGGCAACAGCTGAAGTTGCTGAACTAGCAGTAGCAATTCCAGATGCTATTATAGCGCAAACGAAGGGGAAAGTAAATAAACTGAACTCAATGGACTAAAAGCGCCAAAGTAGTCGTTCAGGAACGATACTACGACCACTTGTGGTGGCAAGCAATAATTTAAGCAACATTTGCTAACACATTAAATTGCATACAAAACGATATCAATCCATCTTGCAACTGATCAGCTGTTGCGGTTGCAATGATACAAAGCCAACAACAACGGCGCTAAGTGCGCATTGCCATTTGCACTCAACTCTTCTTCAGTGGCCGTTACATCTTAATTTTCATATGCAATTTTATTTTCATTGTATGCGTCCGTACATGATGAAGAGTTTCTCGAACTTTTGTTGCATAAATTACAGCTTGCGTTGCATGATCCACAGCTGATCGCATACTACACAATCCCCTGAGACAGAGTCATTGTTGCCACAAACTTCAGTGTCAGCTAAATTATTACTGTCGCTGTTGCTATAACCGTTGCTGTTGAATTTATGAGATTGTCATGTCTGTCGCCACACAATTGTCTATGATGCAATTTGCGGCAATTGAATAACCGACAACATCAGCGCGCCGTCCCAACTTGTACAGGCAATGAAAACAATGACAACGTAAAAACTATACATCATCGGCAACTGTAAAGATGCAGTGAAATTGCAATTGCATTTAACTAAATACTTGTACTCGTACTCGTACTCGTACTCGTATTGATATAACCACTGAGACTCAGCACAGGCGTGCGCATAAATCTAAGTTAAAAATATTTAACCGCATCTGCGCATGCCTGCGCGCATTAACCAATCAACGCGAGCTGCATGTGTTGAAATATGTGCAACGATCTTTAATCTCATCCAAAAGATTGTAATCTGCATCCAAGGTCTTTTATTGATCTTCGATTTCTCTGATTTATGAAATGCATTATTTAGTTTTTGCTTTCCATTTCATTATTTTCAATTTTCTATAAAAGCTTTTTTGTTTCATTTCTCGTTTGTCATGTCGATAGCAATTTTTAGTTCACTTTATCAATTTTAAGATTTGACTTTGTGACTAATTGACGGTGACCCAATCGCTTCCGTTGACGGTATTGTGTGCACATAAAGTGGAACTAGCAACTAAATGCCACAGTGCATTTTATTGGGAGCCCAACTAGAGCGATTAAGGCCATTCAAACTTTTTAAACTCGTCAATTCATATTGATACTCTTACATGCATATATATAATATATATATCTATGTACTTATAGGTATATTACATGCATATTATTCAATAATTTTATATACTGACTAGAAATAAAAGTGCTGAATATATATATATTAATAATCAGCACTAAGTTATGTCTTAAATGCGGTATGGGCATAATTTTAAAAGATTCGGCTTAATTAAGATAAAGAGAGCACTTCTTAATTCAAAATAATAAAAGATAGTTTTCAATTACCCTTATATATGGGTAGAAACGTTGAAATTCAAAGGCGAAAATATGGGTGGGTAGGCCATACCCTGCGTAAGCCTTATGATGATCCAGCATGCAGCAGTAACATGGAATCTTCAGGGAACCCGGCATAGAAGCAGGCCAACGACAACATGGCAAAGAACGATTAATACGAACTGCGATAAATTTCGCAGAATAGAGATAGTTGGAAATCATTTGTTTTATCCTTAAGCTTCTAATAGAGTATGGAATAAATAAAAATAATAATAAGAGCAAGCCCTTTAAATGAAAAAAGAACCATCTAAAACAAGTATACAAATATAATCAACAAAATTCTTGTTGTCTGATTTCACAGAATATTAAATTGAATGGAATTGCTCTTTAATGTTCCTTAAATCATGCAGTAGAATAATTCAGTAACCCCCATTTTCTATATAATCTATTACTATATTGAAAGCAAACCTTTGTCCAGTTAAAAACTTAATGAAAATGTCTTAAATCTAAACTAAAATGTCTGTTATAGCTCTGTATCGCGGACATAGTTTTCTTTATTTATTGGTACTGATAAATAAAATAAATAAAATAGCCTGACATTTGTAGTCCAACATAATATAGACGGAATTTAAACTGATTAAGTAAAAATTGCAATATAGCTTAAGATCACTGATGATGAGTAGTTGGCAATACTTGAAACATCGTTGTATGGTCAGCCAAATTTCAAAATATTTATCAAATATTTGTTGTTGCTATTACTGTTCCAAAATAATTTGTTATTAAATTTTAAATGTTTTATTAAAAATTTAGATTTACAATTGTATATTCATATCAGTATTAGTTTTACATGCTTATCAATCAAATTATAACCATAGACTTAAGTCTAAATATGAATTAAATATGTTTGATTATATTTTTTTTTGTTTTTGATTATATTTTTGATTAAATATTCAATCAATTAGTTACGTAAGATTTCTTGAACAACAATTTACTTTATCAGTAACCTCTGAGTATTTATTTAAACAATTTGCTGTTTAAACACGACTTCTGTGAAAAGATTCACTATTTGATTTATTTCTCTATGTGCTGCCAGCCCAAAAATAAGTTTCTACCACCACCTATTGGATATTAACATAGCCTATATTAGGACCTGTGTCACATGTCACGTTTGATCTAAAGCTGTCAAAGCAATGTAAAGTCTATCTAGAAGCAAAATCATAGACAGACAAGTAGTAATTTAGTTTAATATTAGGTAATTATAAAAGCACCTAGCACTAAATAAATAATCATTCTTGACAAAATACAGGCTTTAAAAGCAATTAATATACTTTATACTTCCGTTTTATTCTCAACATATTCAAATGACTTAAACGACAGCAACGTTTTGTTCGTTATTTTTGCTTGAGATAAAATATGAAGGCATAAAGTTTCTAATGAAACTTACAGTAAGCAAACAAACAGCCAATCAATTTATTAATTTTACACCGGAAAATACCGTTTACGGTTACAAAATAAAGCATAAATAATATTAAGTTTAAACTAATAAAATAACAGTTATTAATTAAATATCAGCCAAACAAATATTTTTCGATTAATATTTTTGATATTTTATTCATATCACACATATGATCATGTTTAATATCACTAAGATTTGATCGTATATTAGATACATAATATAATTTATATAATTATATATGTGTATCTTTAAATTGCATTGGAACTTTACAATTGTTTTTAAAATTATACCAACTATAGTTATAATAATATTCAAATCATTATAATACATTGGTGATCAATAAGGTATTTAGCACGACAACCCCTCACTAAAAAAGTAGTAATTATGAACACGACTACGTTGAAGGCAGAATGATGCAACGATTAATTTTTTGAAGCCTTTACTCTACTGCATATTAAATAAAAGATTACAGCATCTAAACGTTTTATCAAAATAAATGGTTATCCCAGTAATTCTTAGCTCTGCTTAGAGAAAATCAAGCGATGGAGTTAAGATTTGTCAATAGCCCTTCTGTGATACTCTGACCAAAAAGGGGTGTTACAGTAAGTGATGTAGATTATCAGACATTTCAGTGTCTATCAAATGAGGCACATCCAGATAAAAAATAACAGCGCTAACTGCTACGAATTTTATTAACTCACAATTAACATTGGCTATAAATAATCAAACAGAGAAGAACACAGCAGAGTCAATCTAAACCTTAAGTAATATTCATCAGTCCTAACGTAACAAGCGATGTAAACATACAATTGTTTTCTATTTCTCTGTCAATAAATTGTAGTTTCTTTATCTTTAATATTAATGTCTAGACACTACAAACGTACTGTTAAAACTATCAAAACTAGAATTTTTCAAGTGAAACAAATCCATTATTTTCTTTTATATACTATACAAAATTTTATAGTTCGGGATAGGTTAAGGAAGTGTAAAATTTAGTTGTACTGTAACTACCGCAATTCCAGGTATTGAAACTTAAATAAAACCAATAGTTAATTCTTAATCATGTATGAAGTACATTGATGTAGCTATAATTATAGTTTTCATTAAACAACACAGTACTTCTTAACTTAAAAATCATTAGTTTTCTTCATTAAAGACACCGTTGAAATGATGTACTATTAAGCTCTATTAAAGAAAGTTGGGTTTTAGAGCTCGCAATATGATATATTTAAGTTGAAAAACATTGATAGCGAAAAACTACTGATACCATCTATCACAGTGAACAACTGAATTTGATCACATGACTAAAAAACGGAAACTTCCTAAGTGTTGAATTTTGGGAATCCGTAAAGTAAACTTGGTTCAATTAGTTAAATATTATTAAAACTCACCAAGATTATGTTCTAACGTTTTTAACGTAGAAGGTTAATCACAAGAATTTCACGTTCTTCTATGAGACATTCGATTAATAATAAGAGTGGTATTGATATCCACCATCTTCTTACAATTGCATCTTTATAAGGTCAATTACGCATATTAAAATTTCTTGGAAAAAAAAACAATCAAAATTTAACTCTTGTCACATGCGAAAAAAATTGAAATAAAATCTTAAGCTCAAGATTTTGTATAATTCTTCAATCTGAGAATTATGATAATAAAAATATATATTTGTACTTAATGAAAAATAAATCATATTTACAAATTGTTCATCTAAATGCAAATATTATATCAATTATATTTTTTTTTATTTTTATTTTTATTTTATAATATTAAGTGCATTAAGTACATGCTTTTATATATCCGCACTTTAATAGGGAGTGTCATCTACGTCCATCAGTAAAGGTATTGTTTAACAAGTATGTACACAACTTGTCTGGATAGAAGAAATGTAATACTACCTTAACCAATTAAGAGAATTGAACACTGGCGACTTATTGAATTTAATAAGATATTGGAGTTGTTGAAGAAGTTATTGGAACCAAATATTTTACCCGCCATAATCGAAGATGTTATGTTAGTCATACAATAGTACAACATTGACCCCAGGTTGTACTTAAGTAAAAATGCTTTCTATGTCGGAGCTCATAACATTCACTAATAAAAAAAACAAAAATTTTCATCAGCACAAATTTCGTGAAATGAGCGATGTCATCTATGCCTTGAATTTTCTTTTGATAACCACATCTTGTGTTATCTGTTTTTATTGTTCATAAGTTTAATTGCTTCAACACTTATTTATGTACAAATTTAAACGGTCTAACAATGAAATATCAGCCGAGCATTTTGTAATATTATTAACAAATTTTTCAAAATAAATGCCTTTCCGATTGTTAAATATTTAACGCCCACAATAAATTACACAAATTAAATGCCAAACAATGAACGCGTGCACAATAATAAAGCAACATGAACCTCAGCAACTGCAACAGTTCCAACAACAACACTCTGCAACAACACAACTCTGCAACAGCTTCAATATAGTAACTGCATCATCTGCATCTACAACCAACTACGTCCACATGAGCTAGCAACCATGACTTCCCTATTTGTGGCAACTGTTGTTGTCTGCTGTTGTTGTTTTATTGTTTTATTGCTGCTAGTGGCATATTATTGCTAATGTTGTTGCAATTATGCACAGCAGAAATGACTTATAAGTTTGAATTAATACAAAAGATGAATTGACATAAAATGTTATTAGCCAAGCAAATAAACAAAAGCGTTGAGCGCTCAACACTGAGTACTGAGCACTGAGCGCATAATAAAATGTTGCTGACAACAAACACGAAGGTGGCAATAGCTGCATAGTTGCCTAACTATTGCCGCTAACTAACAACTACAACAACAACAACTACTACTACTACAACAAAAACAGCAGTAGCAGCATCTATGTTTAATAACATTGGAATTGATCACGATATTGTTGTTGCTCATAATGATGATGATGAGCTTGTTGAGGATTATGACGTTGATGCTGATACTGATGCTAATGCTGATGCTGATGCTGATGCTGCTGTTTGTTATGGGTTATATGCATTTTGCCTGACCGAAGTTACTGCATCCAAACGAAAACGAAAGTAAACGTACAACTGTTGCCGTTATGCACTCTCGATCACCTTCTCTTTCATAGATTATTTCATTGTTGTTGCTGGCTGTGTATCTGCACATTGTCAGTTTTAGCTTTTAGTTTTCAGTCTATACTATGATTATTTTCTTTTGTTTGTTTTATAGATATTGCTCTCCCCGCATTTTTAATTTGCCTGTGCGCAAGCGCATTTGTCGTAACACCCCACAGAGGCATGCAACACCTAAAGAAATCAAAAAAAAAAACTTCAAAAAATAATAAATAACTACAGCAACATCAGCAACATAAGCAACAGCAACTGAAACTAAATACACAAAATCTGTAGTCAAAATCAACGATGGCAAACTTAAGACCCTCGCAGTTGCATTTTATCTTTCGACGCGTGCGATTCGCATTTTGTGGCCAAAACGGAAAAATTATTGCGTATCTTACGAAAAACCATAACCATAATCGAGATATATTGCAATCGGAATAAACTTACATTTTGTGGCAAATTCGTACTTAGATATATTTTTTTTTTGATTTTTTGGCTGGAAAATCGGTTGGCACTTGTTTGGCTCATAATTGACAACTTTTATTTCCTACAACAACGGCCCATACTATGTGAACTTGAAAATGTTGTAGTGTTGCTGGTTCGCGCTTTTACTGCTTCCATTGCTGTTGCGCGCTGGTAGTCGTTGCTGCTGCCAGTGGCAATTATGTAATTTTATTGGCTAAGCGCCGTACGAGTTGATTAATGGGCCCGCAAGACTAGCAGGCGTCTAGATACAGTTTACCTGAACCGTACGCAAATATATCATTACTAATTATGAGTTGAGCTACAAAGTCTCAAATCTCAACTACGAATAGCCGCAAGTTTACGTTAATTGCTAATTTGCATACGTCAAAAAAAAAAAAAAAATTCATAGTATTAAAGAAAATGTTTGAAACAATTTTTAAGCAGCAATTAATTTGAAGTGTTGCAATTTTGTGAAAGTAAAACTTCAGTTGAATTGAAAAATTTAAAGTATCTCAAGAAACAATTGGCAAAGCTTAAAACTTAGTTTTATTTGAATTTTCATTGTGCAAATTATTAATGAAAGAAATTAAATTTAATATCATATAATAAAAATGTTCAACTGTCCGAGAATAATAGATTTTTAAATAATAAAAAAGCATGTTTAAAAATGACTTACCTCTTCCACAACACCTCATCACTGTTACTATTAATGTGCATCATTTTGTGCAGTGTAGCCGCAAACCCTAAGCAATATTCTAAAGCAAATCAATTCGCAACAGGTAATACAAAAGTGGTAATAATGAAAGTGTTAATAATATTTTTACGAAAATAACAAAGAAAAATATCTTCAATTCGCAAGCAAAACTACAACTCCGTATACAATTGGCATCAAAAAGTCTACGCAAAAAATAAACTCATTATGGACTGTTAAAGGTTTAAGGGCAGCGATGCTGCCCTCTATTCACCAAGCCAATATTATCCATTGAAAAAAGATAACCAAAAAATTTACGATTTTTGATACCAAGTGCTTCTGCTGCTCTGAGGGCTATAATCAGGAATTTGTGTAATGATGTCTTTTGTAGATTGGTATACCCTAGGCTGTAATCAAAAACTTTTTCGTATGTCATTTCAACGTTTATATTTGTAACATATGCTATCTATCTTAATCTGTGTGATTTGACATATTTCACAATTTTCTATTCATGTAATAATATGAAGAATTCTTTAGTTTAGTTTCCAGGCGTCACACAATATGCATCAAAAATTGTACTTTTATTCTATTATTTCCTTATAACCTCGATTACTTGCAATCGGCAGTTTGCTGCAGTAAAAAAAATTTGATCCACATTGGTTTTTGTCGAGTACCATTCTGTTGCAATCCGATAGCGCAAACAAAATATTTTGAAGAATATCTTATAAGACACATTAGTATGAATAGTTCTCTTAAAAGTCGAGAGAAACCGATTATATGCGATATTATCTGCACATATTACAGCTTTCAGAAGTCATGCCCTCTGATTTATGATATTAATATAATTTCAATTAATAGTTCTTCTAAAATAGTGTCCAATTATTATAAGCAACAATCTTAACAATAACGTTAATAATACTGAACCCTAACCTATATTTAGTGAAAAGCGTTTAGTGTAATACAGAAATTTATATCTACTATGTATAATAAATAATTAAATAGAATTTGATTAACTCAATTAAGTGTCTTAATAACATATAAGTATAATATATGTATATTAACATTTGTAATTACTATATTAGGTTTATATGATTAATTTTAATTGAAATTCAAAAACATCGTGTATGAGAAAAACAATTGCATCTTCTCAAAATTAAACATTCGTCTCAGTTCTTACAATTGTTAAAGAATTTCTGTGTAAATTATTTAAAAACTATCCTAACATTAAGTTTCGTTAAAATTCTTGTACTATTCCGATCTCCAATCACTACTAAATCAAATAGACTTCTATATTACCCTGATGTAAGAAAGGAGAGTAATAAAACAAGACTACTTGTCTAGTTTGTTGATCGCTGAAGCTATCCAAGATCACTGCATCTATTTATCACAGTTTACAAAGTAATAACTCTTTGATAAATTCAATGCATAGTTTCGCTATATTACCGGAAGTACATATTATTAAATGAATTCTGAGAAGGTAAGAAATAAGAAATTGCAAGTGAACTGAGTTCGTTTCTTGATAACCAGTTGCAGTGACCTTATCGCCATCCACT